ATCTGAGAGAGCCCAACACCTTGAAGTGAAAGAGCGGAAGCAGGAGAAGACTACACTAGGTCCACTTCTGTCAGCTAAGAACTGGAAACGGAGGCCACAATTTGCAAGGACTCATCAGATGTGAATAGAGAGTCTGAGGAGTTTTTCGGCTGTAATACTTCAATGTTCAGCTCAGAATTTGGCATAAACAACACGAACTCGTGGATCTTTCTATCAGGGGTTCAGGCTGCTGCTGGTGGTGTAATGGTGTGGGGGAAATTTTCTTGGTGCATACTGAACCCCTAAGTATCAGCTGAGCATAGTTTAAACGCCATAGCCTACCTGAGTATAGCTGCTGACCATGTCCATTCATTTAAGATCACAGTGTACCCGTGTTTTAACGGCTGCTTCCAGCAGGATAACGCGACATGACAAGAAGCTCAAATCATCTCCAAATGGTTGCTTGAACATGACACGGTACTCAAATGGCCCCCAGATCTCAAGCCAAAAAAACCTTTTGGGATGTGCTTGAAAAGGAGATTTGCATCACACATGTGCAGCCATGTGTGTTAATATGGAACAAAATCTCTGAAGGCAAAAAGGGTCCAACCTGGTGCTAGGAAGGTGCAATTAAAGTGTCTGGTAAATGTGATTGGATGCAAATGATGAAAGCAAGTGAGCAAAACTGTGGAAGAATAATGTTCTGCACAAAGCTGCAAACACTTTGTAGACTGGGTAAATTAAATTAATAGACATATGCATAGGGTTTAAACTCAAAAGTCAATTTCTTGAGAGAAATAGAAATTTAGTAAAATAATATCAAAAAGCAACAACCAGCAAAAAAGATAAAATTAAGACCAATAAAATAAGTAAAAAAACCTCATTTAAAAAATGAGGAAAAACCTAAAACCATCAGAAATGAAATCAAATGTAGATTAAGTGTGAGCCTGATGTACATAAGTTATTCCAGCAAGAAATGTGCCTGAAAGCTTGACTGATTCAGTCGTACTCATGTAGCAGTGAGAGGGTCAAGTCTCCTTTTTGTATAAAAAGCAGTTGTAATGATTTATAAGAGCCTTTAACAAAGTCTCTTGTGTATTACATGATGTTTATCATCCAGTAATCAATGTTATCAAATCTGATATGTGACATCCTAAGAAACAGAAGAATAATCACATTTTTATCTTCATTTTAGCTTTTAAACCTTATTGGAATTTTGCAGTTGTATTAGATATTTTTACGGCCTAAACCCATAACATTAACAAATAGTAATAGTTTGTAAGATAAATATCTAAATGTGAGCCTTATGAATGAGCTTCCACATAGCCATGAAATCGCAGCGTTGAACCGGCTGCAGCACTGACAGGACTCTGCTTATTTACTGCCCGCTGACCTGCTGGGTCACTTATTTAATCAGTTATTTTCCGCTAACGTGCCCCTGTGCAAGTTACAAAACTGACCCGCCTGCTGCATGCTACTGAAATTTCAACTCTCCATGGATGTTGCAGGGTTAAGAGCATGCTGCCTGCAGCGTTTGCATGAGCACTACCTATTTATTGCAGAGCAATATAAGCCTGGGCTTGAGGCAGAGTTGCTGTGGAGATTTGCATATTATATTTCACCCTTGTTGTTGGAGTCAGCAGTGAGTGATGGAGGCAAAAAACCCCGAGCTGCACAGGCCGGGCCAAGAACAGGGAACAAGCCTCTGCTAATTTCCTGGCAAAAAATTCATAATTAACACGTTTGATGTAGAGGCTGCAGTTGTCAAGGTAACTGATGACACCACATTATCACTTGGCGCTTCTGCACCCTCCATCCTCCCTCTTTCCTCCCATTCATCAAGCAGCCATTGAACAGCTCTTAGCAGGGAGGAATGGGGAGGGTAACCCCAGCTAAACTCATATCAAGCACGTATTTATTCACAGAAGCAAGTTCAGGCACCTTTATTAGTCTGGTATTAATCTCGTAAAGTCAATTACCATAATAGATGATTATGAATTACAATGGGGAGTGCAGGGCCAGGTAAACTATGAATAATAATTGCACATCACAGGGCTGCACAATTTATTTTCTTTAAAAGGCTCACTTCACTCACATTATAAAAACCTGTGCTCTCACTTACCTCTAACCTCCACATTCAAAGCGTGCAGACAGCCATGGGTATTCTGAGAGTAGAATTACTTTAAATACTTGGTGCTGGTGCTTTTCATACAGACTATTTCTTATAGTTGCAGTGAAAACTCGTTTAATGTGAAGGGCAGTCCTTTAAAAATATGATGATGTTTTATAAGTGTATTATTCCACTGTATTTTACAGATGTAAGTGCTTGATAGTATTTACATTTTATGCACATTTGTATTCAGGTAGATCTAATTAACTTAATTTTAGGCTATTTGCACACTCATTGCACATTGCTTTGAAGTTGATGGTTGGTCTCTAGTCGACATTGCTCTCAATGAGAAGTGGGCGGGACCTGAAATCAACTTTGCTTACCTTCAACATGAATGATGATACAACTGCCAATAACAATGCTGAATAATGAGTTGGTAGTAAATATGTTAAAGGGATGCCTAAGCATCTAGTGCATGGAAAGTCGTAGTGATCTGCTAAGTGAATCACTTCCTGGAAGCAATAACCACTGTGACATAAGGTGGGAGGGAGTTCTTAAAGTGACTACAGCTGGAATGAAGAATATCTGTAATTAGGGATGGGAATTTAGCGATTATTAATATCACTTAGCGATTTGATTCCTTATCAATTCTCTTACTGATTCTCATTGTATCTGCTTTGAGTCGCCATCATCAGCAAGCAGCATATCAGAGATATTACATTCTTGCAAATTAATTCCATGTTTTTGCATGTTAGAGGTATTTCCTCTTTGTTGCGATGAGTGTTGGGGTCGTTACTCAAGGAAACTGATGTATTATAATTACACAAACATACGTTCCTATAAGTAATACAGTACATTACTTAAGTAATTCCAGGAGACAGTAACTCGTTACATTACTTATTACATTACTTTCACGTTTTTTTGTAAAGTGACCTGAAACAAATTGTCTTGTAATTACTATTTAACAATATAAACCTATAGACTACACTCCCACATGACACACAAATCCCCATCCTAGCGGAGACACATATGATCTTTCTCTTAACATTTAGGTTTGAACACAAAGTCGACAGCACAGAGCACAGATTAAAAACCAGCACAGAGACTTTGAGGCGATCGTCACGGTGATTCTACAATAGAAACATGAACAGGTAGAAACGGAAGCTGCAGCCTGACTGCTCATCGCTGCTTTTGTTACCTGTTGAAGTTCAGGGTCTGACTGCTGGGTTGTGGTCAGCATTCACTCAGCTTTAATATCACTTGGCTCGTGGCTAGCTTAGCATTAGCACGCTGTCTGTGCAGATGCTTGCAAAGAGCTGAAGTTGTGTTAGCATCATAAAGCTGTTGTTTTTGTTCTGGATCCAGTTTGCACTTTACCATTGTGCTTTTATCCTGTTGCACAATAAAAACAAAAGTAATGTCCATATCCAGACTGTGCCACTATTTTCCTCCTCCAGCACATGAACTAAAATCAGCCAATTGCAACCACAAGTGGTATCAATCAGCAGGCAGACTAACAATTCAAAGGAATTGGATTACTGGCAGCTGGTTCTTTACAAGAACCTATTCCTATCCCTACCTGTGATTGACATATGACCTGCAACCAAATATGCTAAAGGCAACGAGAGACCTCAGTTTTAAAGTGTGCTACAGTTACCAGGTAACTTTCCAACTTGCAGTACTTTAGATATAACATAATGTCATATGGCAGTGTGAGGCATTCTTCACTCTCATTGGTAGTCGCTTCAGTCACTCAGCTGGAAGTTGAGAAAAGCTTATCTCGAGTTCCCAGCTTCCCACTGCCAGCAGTTAATTACGTCCTGGAATGTCATTCACTTTCTGTGGTCTCTGGTCACTGCCTTTCTTGTGTGAATACATAAAACATTAAATGAATATTCATGCTCTGTTTTCATACAGGTGAGTTGTGATATGCCTGCAGTGCTACGCTCTTACAAACGTACATACAGTATGCTATGATCGTTATAGTTAATGTTAACTGTTAGAAGGGCTGAAAGTTCATCAGTGCTTTGGAACCTCATTTCAACCAGTCACACCATTAGAAGTCAGCGCATTAATATGCTGCTACAATGGTCCGTGCTTTAGTTAATGTGCTTTTAGTAGGAACTCATAAGATTCACTGATTATTTCCCCTAACTTAGAAATGTAATTGTGCGCAAGCCCCTCATTCTCCAATCGATCACTTGACCGTTGGCACAGCAGACCAAGCAACTAAAAAACAGTAAATTCTATTAGCCCTGTTAGCACTTAGGAGCTAACGGTTAATAATTAAGGCTTGTGCAAGCAATGATTAGACCTGTGTGCATAAATACGTTTAGTCAGATTAAAAACACAAGACATCCGTGCTTCGGGAAAGGATGTTATTGGTTTACAGTATTTGTATTAATAAGAACTCTATATTTTAATGTGTTGCTACACTGTTGGTTATTGCATTATTACCTACAGTTGCTGTAAGTCTTAATAGATTTACAAGTGTTCCATTCTAACTTAGAATAAATTAAACCTGTGCTACCATGTGAGTCAGATATTAACAAGCCTATGACACAAAGTCATGTTTCCAGTAAAGCCTTTAAGTTAAGCTACATCAATGGTTACATTAACTGTAAACAGCAGCGGGTGGTGGAATTTACCTTTTGGAACCCAGTCAGCCAAAGAAAAAAAGAGTATAAGAACTCAGAACATTAATATGTTGCTACATTAACGACGAGCGCATTAATATTTACATTAACTGTAAGTAGTCACAGGTGCGCGTGTTCCAGGAACTTACCGACGATTTCGAACAGGACACAGCCAATCAGATGTAGGCATCCGCTACAGGATTCGTCGATCATTTGCAGTACTTTAGAAAGGCGAACGTGGACTAGTGCCATATTGTCCAATCAATGAGTTGGGCGCAGAGAGCAGCGGACCTCTGTGAGAGCAGTTTTTGTCAGAGAGGCAGAGACGCCGAAGCAGCATCAGCGCCGGGCGTACGTGGAGCCTTGGAGCATCACTGGGGAGAGCGCACACATCCACCACAAAGAGCAGGCTGAAATAACGCGACGACACTTGAACGATTATTTTATAAACGCGTCCTCTTACTGATTTTTATTTTTATTATCTTTGTGTTGGTTTTATTTTCATTCTTATACTGGAGGAGGCGAAAAAACAACCGAGCAAAGCTTCACTGCGGCTAATCAATTTCCTTTTTCCAGACCTGGGAATTACAATGAAACATGTAGGTGACACATTTCCATTCACTATCCGCGAATCACAATAGGGATCCCAGCGGAGGCGACAAAGAAGGAAGCAGGTAAAAAATCTATTTCATTCTGAGCACTGCTGCTTTGAGAGGCATGAAAATTGTGAACCGGAGTGGCATGCGATGCTTTTAATCATGTGTAACTTCAAAGCTGTGGTCACATTTTGGGTTTGCGAGTGTCGGAGTTTACATTAAGACATCTTTAACCCACAATTTGTTTTTGTTTTTTTTATTGTTGTAAAATACGATTGAAATTAACTTAAAAGGCATCAGCAGTGCCACATTTTCCCTACTAGGGCGCATGTGTGGCATTGCAATCTTTGCGCTTCATTGGAGAGCCTGTGTTTATTTACTGATGGGGACAAAACTGCATTTTACTTAAATTTACACGTTGCTGTGCACACTGTTGTTTTTTCCTCTCTCTTCAAAGGGGAAAATGGTGACGGGTGCCGCATCTATAGGATCAGCATCCTCCTCTCCGTGGAGCCCCTGCGTAAAAGAAAAATCAGGTATTTGCCCTCTTTATTGTGTCGGTACTGCAGTGTGGTAGACAGGCGAACAGGTTTTTATCATGAGGCTTGTCTGCAGCCATACATGCATACAATGCAGGAACGCCTCAGCATAATGCAACAAAACCCTCCCATTTTATGTCTTACTGTGATGCCCTGAATGCAGCTGCAGCATCAGCCATACATGGAGACACTAGCTGCATAAAAAGAGAGATGATTGTGTGCTTTTTGTCTGCATCTGCGACCACATTATAAGGGGGGAAAGAGGGCTCGAACACACACGCACACGCATGACTGGATAAAATATTGCAGAAATCCTGCAAACTAACTGCCCTTCTCTGCGCTGCACAGGTGTTGAGTAGCATTCACCTAACTTAGTGTGTGCCTGTGTGAATTTGCAATGGGTATGCATGCGTGTAGGTGTCTGTGTAGGTGCATGTTTGTGGATGATATCACCTTGCATATATATGGTTGCAGGGCCATGTGTGTGGTTGAGGATGTGTTTTAACCAGGATTTTTTAGAGCTGCACACCTACACCTGCCTCACCGGGTTACTGAAACCGAGGGTACATTAGAGAAGAGCTTCCCCTACCTCCATTATTTACGCACTTAGATTTGGCCTGTTGGGCCACATAAAAATAGTGGTGTGATACTTCACCAGCAGCAGAGTGACTAATTGAAACTTCAAATTAAATCCAGCCTGAAAACACTTTACATATATAAAACAGAAAGAAAAAGGCTTCTGGCAGTGCACCCTGCATTTCTAACCTCTTTGTTCTGTCATTACAGTATAATTGTAAACAATGACACATCTGCATATCAAATGCCACTATTTTTGGAATCATTAATTATCATTTGTTATGAGGCCACCATGCTATAATGCTACCATCCACTCTGACTTACCATCCAAGTCAAAGGTGTGGCCTGAGGGCCTGAACTGGCCTAGAAAACGTGTCCAATGTGGCTAACTTAATGGATTAACAAAGTGTGAAACTTGCTGTGAAGTCGGTAATTGCTTTAGGTTTTCATTAAAATGCACAGCTGTCCATCAAGCAATGATGATGCTAGCTTTATTACACAGGAGTGAACATGTATGAGAAGTTAAAAGTATGTGGATCTTGAAGAAAGAATATGCTTTAGTTATACAAATTCTACATGTAAAAATGTTGTGTTTTTTCCGCTCTGATCTCTGAGGTGTAATGTGCGAATGAATGAGTTTCAAATCTTCAACCAAGGCAAACAGCTACAAGATTACAGTAAAAAATGTTTTAATTTGGATGAAAAAATAAAGGAAAAACAGGGCAGAGGCACAAGACTGAGTACATAATGGCTTAAAACAGTGAAGGAACTACTCATCCCATAATGCCAATCCCAGATTCCACAGCAACCAATTTCCAACCTGATCAAAGTGAATACTTCTATATATATTTAGCTTGTATTGTACGAATGTGTAATAAAGCATTGCCTTAGTTATGGTACAGTTACTGCTCACAGTTTCTGAAGTTCTTTCACTAAGCAACCTGACATTTGCAGGTTTATACATTTCCATGGTAACTGCAACCTCCACCAACCGGAGACGTCGCTGTTTCAGTTTAGGATTGCAGGCAGAGTAGTTTTTTTTCTTGCACTGGATTGCTAATAAAATGTGTTTTTGCTAAAACGAGGTTGAGTCTGAAGGTTGTTTCTGCAGAAGCAACTAATGTTGCTCATAGTAAGTCTACTTTGGATTGTTGCCACTTTGTGGCTCATAATCAAAATCCCCATAATCAAAAATGGGATTTTTTTTGCTCAATGTTAACGTCTATACAGTAGAAAAAATACAAAACAACCAATCATATGCATCCATAGTCTGCCAATGAGGCACAAACTAGCATTTGTTCATGGGATTTAAAGTCAGTCAATGTCTCTGCAACAGAGGCTCCACTTATCTTGGGTGGCACCTTAAATATTATAGTACCGAATATAAACTGGAAAAGTGCAGCTGAGGGTTGGTATATAAGTTTTCACCCAGTATCACTGAAATCCACTTAATAAGACACTTTTAAAAATGAATAAAGAAATAAAAATGTAGTTTTACTGGAGCAGTTATCGTAGCTACAACCAATCACTAACGCTAACAAGGCGATATTCATGAGATCGTAGCAGCGATATAATGAAATTTAGACACTTTCAGCAATGAGGGGTGAAATACCTGCTTCATTTTTTCTTAGACTTATTGTCATATTGAGGTGATAGCGTGTGGTGTAAAAGATTTCCTGTTTCTGTCCATTTGGCAGCAGCATGGAATCAGTCTGTTGGATAAACTGTCCCGCTGCTTGTCCAGTAAGTGGTACAGAGGGATGAAAGTAGGAGAACATGCCTCAGTGTCTCGCTGGGGAAAAGAGAAGCGGTAGATCAACAGATTAATGGGTACAGGTCTGCCGTAGTAAACGGAGAGCTGAGTGTACTGGTTGATTTACTGGTTTGTGCTAACCTCACCTTCGACCACACACTGTGGGTAGTGACTGAAAGAATGAATTCATGGATACGAGCAGCAGAAATCAGCTTTCTCTGAACGATGTCTGGGCTCTGTGTTAGAGATGGCACGAGGGGCTCAGAGTACAGTCGCTACTCCTCTGCATCAAAAGAAGCCAGCTGAGGTGGTTCAGCATCTGATTAAGATGCCTCTTGGACAGCTCCTGAGGTGTTTCTGTTCAGCTGGAAGGAGATCCTGGGAAGACCACACTGAAAGGATTATTCTTCTTGGAATAATAATATTTTTTATTATAGTCCAGGTGATTGTTCTTTTAAGGGTGCCAAAATTTCTCATTAACAGAAAAAACCCTTATCTTTAAATTCAGATGTTTCTAGCAACCTGTCTTGTTTCTGAGGTGTTTGAATATATTTTTCAGAAAACTATTGAATAGAAGTTGAATTATTAAACCAGGATAAGTGACGCATATATAGACTCGTTTCTGTTTCTGCTTCCTTGCAATCAGCTCTTTTACACCAACATGTTGTATTAACAGGGGGTAAAAACCCCATGAGAGCTCACTGTGTACACCCACGGTGGCCTCGGTGGAGCTGAATGCAGTGTAGCTACAGGACACGTCTGAGGAAGGGGCTGCAGATATAGATGTGAATAACCCCACAGCTTTCAAGCTGCATGTGTACCTATACACGCCTACCTGCCTCTGAGTGAAACCAACATGCTCCCGCCCACTCTCTGCGAGCTGTTGAAGGGCATTCTGGGAAAAGCAGGGAATCACAGATTGAAGTGGAAGCTGGGGAGAACGTGGGGATAGCAGCCTGATGACAAAATAGTTACACATCACAGAGGGATGATATAAGAGTTTGAGACTATCAGAGGGAGGGTGTTCGTAAAATGTGGTTTATTTTGGGCAGAGTTGCAGAGTTTAATGTCATAAAAGGCTCTAAGTTGCTGTCCTTTGTCGCATGGCTGTTGACTTCAGCGTGCTAGTGCACGTTGGGTCCGGCAGCACATTCCAAGTGTGGTGGAGGAGGTGGATCGTCTGCAGCTTCGCCATTAATCATGGTTGTTTCATGAGTCAGCGGTGATTAATCTGGTTGATGGTGGTCATGCCTTCAGTGGCCCCCTCCTCAGAGGGGGATGGTTGACCTTGAGCCCAACCCCGGATGTTGGGAATTTCACCAGCAGCTTGTGTGCAGTCTCAGGTGTTCACGTCATCACTGGAGACGTGGGCACAAATGACTGATGGTATTCTGAGCTTGCAGCAACCTTCAGGAAGGAACAAGTTCTTTTGTGCTCTGCAGTGACTCGACCGGATCCAACACCTGTAGGTGTATTTTTAAAAGGATGATCTCAAGTTGAGCACACTCATACCAAAACATGTGCTATTTAAACCCAAAGATTTATTATACATTTTAAAATTTTGACTTTTCTTATTAGATTTATTTGTATTTTCCCTTTAGTTTCAGTTCATTTTAAGAGGAGGTATGCTCATTTAGTTTAGGTTTTATTGTTTTATTTATAAGACAAAAGACTAAAATTTGAATGTTACACAATAACATTTTAGTTAGTCTAGATTATTTTTATTTCAGTTAGCTAAAATTAGTTTAAACTAGTGCTGTGGGGCTGCATGGCGTCAACGCTTTGGCGCGGTTAGCGCGTTAGCAGCCCCTCGTACTGGGCGATCCATGCTAAGTCGCTAACGGAGACTTGCTGCTTTAATGCGGTTATGGCGTTAACGTCATTTTAACGAGATTAACGCTGACAGCGCTAGTTTAAACACATATTTTTAGTTTTAAGCTGAGGGATATTTAACTGTATCATTCTTGGCTATTGTATATTTCATATAATACTCTTCATTAGTTTTATCTGAAAAAATGGTGCAAAGCAGACGTCTTAATTAACAGTGTGAACGCTGACATGTGTCTGTCCTGGTTGGGCTCAGTGCTGGCTGATCCCGTATCAGCTGGGACCGACAGTGGAGCAGACTCAGTGTCTGTGGAGGTTATTTGGAGTCATTCACATCCCTTATGCAATGGCAAAGTAGAACAAAGCCTGTTATTCACACTTTGATGGATTTAAGTGACTTTCTGTTTTTTTTTTTTCTAATATTTTTAGATGAGATGACTAATGGATGAAAGCTGCAGAGCTTCAGAGTGTGTGCACCTTATTTTCATCTGGCATATTGTCCTTGCATGAGTGGCTCAAGGTTTCTGTGAATTAGAGTAACCGCCTCCAACATAATAGATCGTGGTGAGATGCTAGTGGCTGGACTGTAAATCAGATTCAGTGAATCACTGACATTATCAATCTTCCACTAAATGAAATATCACATTTCCTCAAATAAAAACCCGTAGTCAGTTAAAAGCTGGGTCGCTGATAATGGCCAAAGGTGTGAGCGACTTTAACAGATTTCCCGAGCCCATTACAGGCTGGGAAATAAAACTATACCACCCAGCTGTTGTTGTTGGAGAGGGTATGCTTGAAAAGTAGAGCTGGTGCACTCTGGTGGTTTGACAGTAATCGACGG